TGTCGCCCTCCTTCGAGACTACTGCCACTGCTCATCCCGTATCTCCCCCGCCCCGCTTGCCTCCTCGCGACCGCTCACACCGATTCAATTCCCGTTTCACTCCCCTTCCCCCCGTGGTACACGCCAAGACTACCACCCGCTCCTAAACCACATTCCGCTCCCTTTCTCCTCCGTCCACTGTCTGACTTTTATTATTATTCCCCATTATCCATTCCCAACCGAAACTCTCTCTCCTCACATCAACTTGCGTCTCTATCCATCTCCCACGTCTGCCCCTTCTTTCTCCACATTCCCCCAATCCACCGTCTCCCTCTTTCCTCCCCATTCCTTGACTCCCCTCCCCGCCCCTCTCCCCTTCGTCCACCATGGCCAAGCAACCCAAGTCCTGGCTCGGCCGTCACCTCCAGCGTCTCGAACCCGCACTTCAGCACGACGGCTTCGCCTACACCTTCACCATTGTTTTCCTTCTGGTCAACGTCATCATCTTTTTCGTCGGCGCCGCCCCAGCATGGCTTGCCAACAGCGAAGAAGGCCTCGCTCTACGCCTCGCCGCCTCTTCAGCACGAGGCGGCGGAGCCATGCTCAATCTCGACGCCGCCCTCGTCATTCTCGTCGCCTCGCGCTCGCTCATGACATATTTGAGACGCACCCCGCTTAACATGATCGTCCCTTTCGATAAGGCCATGCCCGCTTTTCATTCGCTCGTCGGAAATGTCCTCGTTGTCGCAACTGTCATCCACACTCTCGGCCATATTGTCAGGTATTCCTTGTTGAGGGAATGGGGTGGCGGCATCTTGGGTCCTACTAGTCTGGCCTTCTCTGGCTCGTTTTTGGTAATTGTCGTCCTTTCTATGAAGATCACCGCCCTCAAATCCCTACGGAAGAGGTCTTATGAGACTTTCTATTGGGTTCACAGCCTGGGCTTGTTTTTCTTCTTCGCCCTCTTGATCATGCATGGCTCCCACAATGGCCAGGCAAAGACATTCATGTACATCTTGGCCCCGCTCACCATCTACATCATCGACAGACTCGTCCGCTTGTTTCGCGAGAAGGGCTCCCAACTCATCTTGCGCAAGGAGCATCGTCTTTGCAAGGGAACCGATATGGTCCGTCTCAGCATCCCGAGAACCTTCACCTACCTTCCTGGTCAGTACTGCGACATCAAGGTCCCGCTTGTCAGCACTCTTGAATGGCATCCTTTCACTATCGCCAGTTCTCCGCATGAAAACGAAATGCTTTTCTACATCAAGGTCAACGGCGATTGGACCCAAAAGCTCTACGACCGCATTCAGCAACACGAAAAGGATCATGACGAGATCCAAGTTCATGTCCGCGGTCCTTACGGAGCTCCCGCCCAGCATGTCGGTCAGTACGAGCATGTCGTTCTTATCAGTGGTGGTGTGGGCGCCACCCCATTTTGCGCTATTACAAAGTACGCACATCATTGGATTCTCAACTACACGCAACGGGGCGCGGAGGCCTCGAACACTGTTTCCGCCGCCTTCACTAGAAACCAAAGCGTCGTGGGGACATCAAGCGTACCGGGCACGCCAACCAAGAATGCATCCGGATACTCCTCAGTCCAGCGTTCCAACAACCCATCCAGGAATATGTCGAGGAACCAAAGCGGAAACAACTTTCCACACAATATATCGAGAAACTTTTCGAGGAATAGATCAACCAATGGATCGAGGCCAGTGTCTAGGTCAGGTTCTGGGCGTCTCGACCCATACGGCCCCAGAAATATGTCGCGGTCGGGATCCGGAAGGACAATGTCGAGACCTCATTCTGGTCACTTAGAGCGCTTTAACTCGGGCCATATGGATCGCGTTAGTTCGACCAGGACGAATGATAGTATTGGCCTTATCATTCACGAGCAGAGGCAGAACCAGCCTTTCGGCCCTACCCCTTCGATGCAACATCTTGCAGCAGCTAGCCCGCCAGAGGATATGCATATCACGATACCGAGCAGCAACGAGAGCGCAGATGATAGCATAATACGCACCTATATCGACAACGAAGTCCTTCCAGAGGACTACGATGAGGCTCTCGGAAACCCTGAGGCACCGATTCCAGATCGGCGGGCAGCAGCGTTGGACGCCGAAGGCCCTGCAAAGGAGAAGCAGCAGATGTTTGAGCTCATCAAGGAGTATGAATCGACCGCAGATCTGTTTGATGATGACTTTGAAGACACTCCTGGGACAGATCCCTTGAAGGCAGGAGGAAATGAATATGTTGGAACAGGCATACTCGAAGATGGGGGAATGGATCTTGATCCGGTGGACCTGGAGGCCGGCGGTGTGGAACTCGAGGACCAGATTCTCGAGCAGCAGACAGCTTCGAACGCATACAACATGCTAGGTATGAGTTTCGGCCCGCTTGCCATGCTCAGGCACATGCACGCGCAGGAAGATTCCAAGGTTCGGTCTAGCGTAGTACGAGCGTCAATGAATCTGATGGATGATGCGATTGATGCTGCTGTTTGGCAGGATCGCCTGTTATTCTATCTGCATTCGGTGACGTTGAACTGGATTTTGCTGTGGGTCATGCTCTTAAGGTTTTCTCTTGTTGCGATGGGATACATCACAAAACAGTTCTTCACAGACCAACGAGGGCTTGGAATTTTTGCTACCCACGCGATGAATTCCGTTGATCTTGTGTCAGCAATCTTCATCACGATTCCTGTCGTCGGTGCCGTCATCATGGAGATTTACCTGCATGGCCCCAAGGAATTTATGTCTGACAACATTGGAAACTGTTTTGATCTATTTGTGCTGGTGCCGCTGTTGCTTGGTTGCATCCTACTGCACGTCCTGGACCTAGCCAGTGTAGGAATTAATATTCAGCACATGTCCAACGTGATTGTGTTCGTCATCTGGCCAATTTTAAGCCTCACCCTCCTCTGGCGCATTGGTCGAACGATCGGATCGCGAGTCTTGCTCGCCCAGTACTTCAAGTCGACACATGCGCAAACAAAATCACTCGACTATATTTGGGTGAGCAAAACGCATCAAGATGACACGTGGCTAATTGAGGAACTTCTGCCCCTGGCCGAGTCAAACATTGTCCGCCTGCACCGCTTCATCACACGACATGGTCCAAAAACCGAGCCCTGGATGCTCGATTACGAAAAAATCCCCCTCAACACAACGTACTCTCGTCCCGATTGGGATGACGTTTTTGGAAGTCTTGTCGAGAGATCTAAGAGCGGCTCGGTGATTGGTGTATTCTTTTGTGGACCGGATAGTATGGCGCGAATGGTGCAGCAAGCAGCCATGAACGCCATGACGAAAAGCCTGGACAATGCCTATCAAAGGGGGTATATGCAAAAGGGCGGCCGTGCATATGGGCGAGAGGAGGAGTTGGGGTTTGCAAAATCAGGGGCAGGCAGAGGAGGCGGGCTCGGGAAGATGACAGAACGCGTGGGAATTGGAAGGAGAGGTGCAAGTGGACGGAAGCCTGGAAGTCCACTACCTGATGACAATCTAGACGCATCAGCGTATGGTTGCAGCGTACGAATATCTGTGAGGGTGGAAAATTTCACGTGAAGCAATTGAATTTTTTTGAATGCTGTGACATTGATAAGCATACCGTGGCGTATGGCAGTGCGGAGAGTAGGTTAGAAATTAACGCAGAAAAGACTGTCGGCAATTTGTACAGAGACGTCTGATGTTGATGTTATGCGCCCGGCACTTACACATGGTGCGAATAGTACTAGGATATATATGAAAGCCTGCAGGCACCTTTTTTCTATGCAGGGTGCGGCAGTTCCACACTTGCTCCGAGAAATGCAGCCGAGAAAAGGATTTGAATTCATCATGGCTTGAAATCAAGATGAACCACGAGACTAGCGTTTGAGCGTCTGCGCGCAGTGTCAAGAAAGGTATAAGAAACTTTTGAATTACCTGACTGTATCATTGGGGCACTTGCTGCCTGTAGCAGTGGTGTATCAGGTAGATAAACGGTGTCTATCTACGAGCATTTTGACCAAACTGCGCTGCTCTTGGCTACTGCAAAGCAATATGGCTAAAGTGTTTGTGACCCATCAGGTTGATTCCAAACGCTGTGCTTGTGAGGTCGGCGGGCTGTACGTTGAGTGGTGTCGGCGAGTTGTACAGTACGTTGAGTAGTCTGGGCTTGCAGGACGCAGGGTTGCGGATGATGTAGTGTCCAATAATTCCACGTTTGGGAGGTTGCATGAACACTGTCGAGCATCCCCAGCTTAGCGCTCTGTTCAGTTATTGAAGCAAAAATTTCTTGATTTCGAAAGATGAGCTGTCAAAAGATGACTGAAGCACATCTATTGGAAGTAGAGAAGTGGAAGTGACGGGAGAAAATGGGCAGCCGGAGCGGCATACTGAACATGCAACCTGTCGCTGTGCACCGACAAGCGAGCGGAGGCAGAGGCAGTACAGAGTTGTCAGAGACAGCGATTATCAGCCGCCGGAGCAAGCGATATCGGGACGACTGAAAAAGCACTCTAGCCTAGTGGTTAAAACCACGGCTACGGAAGTCGAGGTACCGAGGAAGTCGAGGTACAGAACCGAGGAAGTCGAGGTACAGAACCGTCCGTGGAAGTCGAGGTACCCAAGGGTACCGTACCGGGCTCGAACCCGGGCTCTGACATCCCAGCGTCCTAAGGATGACGTCTTTAAAAGCCCGGCCGCAGACGCTTTTGTGATTGAATTTTGAAGGTATTTTCCGGAGAGAATTTACCGCTAAATGCGGGTTTCCTGTCGCACGGTTGTTGCCCAAATGGTGCCTAGATGTTGGGAGATGTGGGTTGAGCACCTGGATAGTATGATCGCAAAGACGTTGCTTACTGTACTTGTAGTAAGTTGGTCAGACGGAGGCCCTTGTCATTTACAGTAGGATGTAAGGTTGGTATATCACCGCTAGGACACCGCCCTGTCTTTAAAAATAAAGTTAATCCATTTCGATATCGAGGGGATGACACTGTATGCAGTAGTACAGAGAAAGTGCAAGTCTTGTGTGGCGTAGATTGGCGGTATGCATTGAGCTCTTATCAGTTCTGGACTTGTGGAGTGAGGCGATATCCCGTAAACAGCGAAGTGAACTTGTTGTGTACGGTCCCGTGCGTTTTGTGCGGAAGGGTGGGATGGATGCTAGCTGAGCAAAGGTGTTTGAATAAATAGATTTCTGATTAAAATGAGCAACGGAGGGCATTGTTGGGAAGATGCAACAGGCAGAGGTGATTGAGACTGGCGACTCACCGCTTGTTCTCGCCACTCAAGGCTTGTCCATAGAGGATACTATTCGAGCACTCGACGTGGCAGAGTTCTCATACAGATTTCCTACACCGCGGTCCTGAGAGGTAGTGCATTACACACGTGTAATTCTGCCATGTTGGCAGCTGAGTGAAAAATATCGATATTTCATATAACTTTACGGAAGGACTGTGTAGTGCGCAAGTGTGCAAGTGAGTTATTTCAAGGCAAAATGACTTCGGTCCCCGCTGTACAGGACTGTATCTCTGGTGACTCGAGAGCGCTTTGTTTAGAAACGCAATGCTGTTAAATGCACATGCATCCACGCCTCGCGTCATGCTCATCCTGTGACTTGTAGCTTCAGGGCACCCATTTTGAGTGCTTTCATCAACGAGCCAATCCAAATGTGACCCAGCTCACGCCCCAACACGGCCTCGCTGGATACATCCCCATTCCATCCCAAACCGCCACACCGCCTCCTTCTCCCCTCATCAGAACCTCCTTCCATTTTCGACCCCCACTTCTTATTCGTCTGTCACATCATACGCTTCTCTATTTACCCGATTACACTTCCAGACGCACCCATCGCACTCGTCCCTCCCCTGAATTTTTTGCTCCCCTAGGGGAGGGGAGCAAAAAATTCAGGGCCCACCCCCGCTGAATTCCTCCATCTGTCAGAGGCGAGCCTGAAATCGCCGGATTGTTTCCAACCAACCTGCGAAGAAGATACCGGATTGCACTGTATACTGTAGGTCATCTTGGCGTGTGCATCCAAGCATTTCAAGCACTGTCTCCACCTTGTCTTGAAGCAATTTCGTTGCTGTCGGTTCCTTTGCTTCGATCCGATGCTGTCATGCATAACGCTGTCATGCAAGAATCGCTCGGATGTTACTCCAAAGTTAGCCGTTGTTTTATTTGTAGACATCAAGACTGATACAAGTCACCACCGCTCCGCCACAACAACCTATACTGCCGAAAGTAACAAGCACTACGCGAAAAAAAGAGTTACTACAACTATGAGCTTCCAGCGCACTGCTCGGCCGGATTGAGAAGCGACCCAATTCGCATCATCGCCCGTGGTGATTCACGTGATGATGGCTTTTGAGTGAGTAATTGCTCTACGGCCGGAATGTGCGCCAAATCACGGCCTATACCATGCATCGCCCCGGGTACCTCGACCTCATCCATGCTTTTCCGTCTCCAAGTGTTGATATATTCCCGTGCAATGCCCGCATTCTTCTTCGCTTTCTCTCTGTTTTCCGCAGCACATCTCGCCTTCATTCCCCTTTCCAACATTCGCTTCCTACGATGAGCGAGTCCCCCGACAGTCCGGGCGCATCGCGAAGAGCAGAATCGACCAGCACCGAACGATCCATCGTGCGAGCTACCGCATGTCTCACAATGCTTCGTGAAAAGCCCAGACGCCGAATCAGTCCGTGGTAGAATTCTCGTGTAGCCGTAGATGGCGTAGGGGGGCGTCGGTGGTGCCACATCTGTTGGCGAGTACAGATCGGGTCGCCTACCATTACCATCAAGTAATGACTCATGTCCTCTTGAGCGGGCCGGCGATGGGTCGTGCAATCGAGTAGACTGCGGGATCAAAGGAGCGTGGTTAGTGGGATGGCTGAAAGCAGGTGGTGTGAAATAGTTTAGCGAAGGGAGAACGAGAGGAGACTGCTTCATCATGTTTGCAGGGAGTAAAGTCGAAGACGACGGTAGTCTCGAGTGTTGGGAGTAAAGTGAAGACCGGCACGAAGCAATGTCGTGGATGCGCGCAGAGGAATAATTGCATTGCCTTATAAGTACTCACAGATTCAGGCTCGCCTGGTACATGGGAGCAAGAGCGGATTTCAATTCGAAGGTTTCTCAGAAAAAAGAAAGAGAAAACAACAGTCCAGCCGCAACATAGTTGTACGAAAGTTCATCACACGGCCTTGCTGATAGGGTAGTGTAAAGAACCATCTGCGGTACGCACCGTGACGTACTCTCTAGGCGACATGCCATGGCATTGGCTAACGGTCGATTTGAGGATTATCATCACATTGTCATACAAGCCAGTATTGATAGTGCAGACTCATCGAATTTCTTGGAAAGCCCTCAATCCGGGCCAATCGCACAGGCCAGTGTGCCCCTCTGCCGCCCCATCACACTTTCTTCACCTAATCGTTTACCTCCAGCATGTTGTCCAACTTGGGTACCGCTTCAATCAGGCAACGTTTTAGTCCGAACCACCCAATGGGTATTTACCGTCTTTCATCATTCCTTGCCTTCTCATAAAACTCAATCGCGTATGTCGGAACTACCAACCAAAACCACCACGTTCTTCAGAGTCGTTCACCAGTTTGCAGTAACGAGAGGAACGGCCCACAGTCATTTTGACGAAAATTAACTACAGGTGGCGCTGTGCGGGACCCCAAACACAATCTCTCGCGTAAGCTTCTTCGGCCAAATTTTCCTCCTCCATGACTTATGTGTTGACATATCCTGACATCAGGACGGAGACATCCCTCCAGTGAGCTGACAAAATCCACTCATAAATTAAATCAGGCCATTCGTGCATGACAAAGAGAGGTCCCCCCTGCGGTCATACAGTATTGAAAGGGGCCGTATATGGAAACCAGACCCGAGTTTCACATCGCAATGAACTTTTTTCCTCAAGCGCCAAAACAGTCATAACGAATAGGTAGAAGGAAACTTCCAGGCTACCAGGAGGCGCCTCTTGCTTTCTGCTTGGTTAGACGCATGGCGTCATTTTTCTTGAAAAGCTTTCGGCCACCGCCGACAGCTACTTGAGCTCTTCTTGAATATAAACAAGCTCCATTCTGTGTGGTCCGCGAACACACCCTCTCAAACGAATCCACGAAGCTGTTGTCCACACTTCGCCCTGCTGATTAAATTCCACGAATTTTCTCTGGTCCGCTACAGTATAAAGTGCAGTTTAAAGTGCCGTTTGAAAATCCAAGCCAGTTTGCTGACACGAGAACATACAAACCAAGCAAACAGGTTTTGCACAGCAGAGTAATGACGAAACCTCATCAAGACGCTTCTTTTTGATGCTACCGAAATGGCCTTACGATGGGAAGATGGGTAGTATATTCCTTGTGCGCACTCCTCTAAGTACAGTACAACGCATGGTGGTGCAGTATGCTTATGTAATGACACATCAGTTCCTTCTACTGTACTTTGCACGCCCTTTCCACGCCATAGAAGAAGTGTCATCATGGAAATGGTATCCCATGAAATACTTCGTGCATCGAAGCCGTACGCATCGCCTACCTCAAAATCATTCTGAAAGGGGCAATTCAGTATTTGCCTCTGTT